GCAATGAAAAATCAACATTCCTGCTTAAAGTTACTTAATTCTATCAACAACCTGCCCTCTTCTATACTATATAGCTAATTCTTCTAAACTTCAAATGTCTTCTTCAAGACTTCGGCAGCTTCCCTAGCATGATGCTCGCCTATAGCCGTAGCTGTCCACGCCAGTTCCGGTCGACCAGCGAACACAGGCTTAAAATCAAAACTAGGTGACACTCAAAAGAACAAAAAACTGAAAAAGAAATTTGAGAAGATCACAGTTACAGGAATTCCTTCCGCCAATTCAATCGACAAAGGGCAATTAAACGACTCTCCACATAAATTTTTCGGCCAGCAGAAAATATTTGCCTCTCTTACTCATTCAACAATACCCATTCACTCGCTGATCGATTGAGTATTCTCCACTCTACAAAACCAGGAACACGTGTCCTCAGCAATTGAATGACAAAACAATCCCGTGAGCTACAAAAAACCCCGATCAAAGCGAAGCGTAAAAAAAAACTACCCACAAAACCTCTAGCACCTCTGCACTTCACAATAGCGTACAATTTGAAACAAGAACGCCGATCGGGAACTTCTTCAGACTTTTCAAAAAATTGTCATTCAGCTTTACAGTACTATAATGTTCTGGATGATCTTGACTGTAGCTAGAGACTCTGACCTGACTGTAGCTTAGCGCTGTCAGATCTCAAAGAACGAGTGTCACGATCAGGAACAGAGAAGAAAAAAATCACCACCCGTCTCTATCGCCTCACTTTCTTTCCCAATCCCTATGCTCCCTTCCCATTAGACTTCTTTTTCAGAACAAAACGATAGAAGTCATATAATGTGATCACATTAGGACCTTTGCGTTCAACAGCATTTCCGAAGCAACACAGAACAAAGGCATGGAGAGCACGCTGAGCTGAGTCAACTGGAACGCTGTGTCAATTTCAGAATTTTACGACCTTCCCCTTCCCCCTCCCTCTTGGCGAGTCTCCCATACGACCCACTCATATGGTCGACGTTATGGAATGTCGTTGGACCTATCGTAACTTAACACACTTCAACTGCTCCTCAAATTCCTTCAGAAATTGGCGCTGGGTAAGGGAAGGGGCTTTCATAATACTACACACATATTTGCTACTGTTCAATTATATCAGCTGAGCAAGCTAAAAGCCCCTCAAATCAGCCTTGGGCATTTAATACTTAGAACGAATTCGCTCCGAATGCTGACATTCCTTAGAAAACAAATTAACTACAAATTCAGCCTAATTAACTAGTCACTTTAACCACTCTAACTTTGAAAAAAAAATCACCCCTTGGGCCGCTCTCAAATTCGGCCTGAAGTGAACCACTATAAATGTAATGGCATAAATAACTCACGGATATTCCGAGTGCATTCTCAAAGCGCGGACGAACAAAAGTCCATGCGCCTGCGTTCCGCGGCTCTTCCTGAGACCAAACAAACTCTGAAATTTTCATAGCTCAAGACTCATAGACTGTTCAGCCACCGCGCCAAACATTCGGTATACGAACTACAATTCGAGGGCTTTTCAACATGCATGTATGATGGGGCACACTAGTTTACTGATTTCAGCTGACGTTACCTTTCGCTTTTTCTTCCTAGATAGATTTTGCGCCGATTGGCACTTTCGGTAGTTCAAAGACTTGCTTCATCAAGCCAGAAAAGATGCATCAAATTCTATCAAAGCAATGTAGTTTTCGGGGACATTGTGGACAGCTTGCCTACTTCGTACAAACAATTTGTATATTAGAAACATCCAATCGGTTCTTCACCTTTATTATGCCGCCAATGACTGCACAGCCTTTGCACGTCTGTCAGAACATAACCATTTCATAGTGCAAGTGCCCTGATCGGTTTCAAATGTATCGTATGCACAACGTCTCTCCAGGAATGCCGTCACATTCCCTCATTAGTGGTTATACTGAACACCACATAATTTGCAGTTACAAAGGAAAACTTCGGCTAAGGGAGAGGGGTTGCGCTTTTGCAGAGAAAAATGGCGACAACATGGAAAATTTGGTTTCTTTACTTCATGCACTCAAAGTGGTAGGTATCGATCAATCCTTTCAAACTGCGCCA